GACCAGGACTTTGACTTTGGACCAGGGTGGACTTGGCTGTCTTTCGGGGGTCATTTGGACTCAGTGTTGCATTGATATTGGTAGTTCGGGGAGCAAGAGGAGCAGGAGTTCCGTGAGTTGTCAGGCAGCAACTAGTGAGAGCATCAGCAAGTTCAGCCAGTGCAGGTGAGTTTCCCTTTGTGTGAATGGGTCTAAGGCCACAATGCCGGCCCATGTAGTTATGAGTAGAAGACCCGGGGGTTAGCCCTAGGCGCAGTATGCTAGTATTGGTTGCAGGACGAGGTCCAGTAATAGCGGGCGGGTGCCCAAGGAATTGTTTATATATGATAGTTTATACTTGTTGTCTGTGTGATACATGTATGTGCCTGGTAGGGAGGTGAGTGTGGGTGAGGTCCCGTATCTCACCAATAGCAGAGTGTTGATGGGGTTCCATATCTCACTAGTAGCAGATTAGGGGCGAGGCCCGAACTAGAACAGGAGTGAGAGTGGGCTAGGCCCGTACCTCACTACCATTAGGAGCATGGACAGGGTTCCATGACTCATCAGTAGCAGGACATGGGCGAGGCCCAGGATAGGCGAGGCCTTAGGACAGAACTAGTTGCATGTGTTAGTTATGTGTTGTGAAATGTGTATGTGTTATTATTTGTTGACGGGCGAGGCCCTGTGACAGGCGAGGCCTAAGTAAAACAGATCTGTATCCGAGTGGGGCTCGAAGCTAGACGAGGCCTGGAGCGGCGGGGCCGTTGTAGCGGGCGAGGCTCGAGGTAGGGGGCGAGGCCCAAGGTAGGGGTCGTGGCCCAGTATGTGCAGTATGTGGTTATGCATGGTATGTGGTAGGGTGGGGAACTCACTAAGCTTCGTGCTTACAGTTTTCAGTTTTGGTTTCAGGTACTTCTGGTAGCGGAGGAAAGAGCTCGGGGTGATCGCATGGCACACACCATAGATTAGACAACCTGGGAATGTTTACTCTGATAACGAACATGTGTTTTGAAAACTTATACTCATATTATGTTTTGGAATGATGACTTTACTTTAAGTAATGATTTATTAAAGAAATTTTTGGTCTTAAATTTTGGGTCGTTACACAAAACTGAAAACCGTAAGCACGAAGCTTAGTGTGTTCCCCACCCTACCACATACCATGCCATAATTACATACTGCACATACTGGGCCATGCCCGCTATCTTGGGCCTTGCCCCCTACCTCGGTCCTCGCCCGCTACAACGGCCCCGCCTAGCTTCGAGCCCCCCTCGGATGCAGATCTGTTTTACTTAGGCCTCGCCTATCACAGGGCCTCGCCCACCAAATAATAACGCATAAACATTTCACAACACATAACTAAACGCATGCAACTGGTTTTGTCCTACGGCCTCGCATATCTTGGGCCTCGCCCATGACCTGCTACTGATGAGTCATGGAACCCCGTCCACACTCCGCTATTGGTGAGATACGGGACCTCGACCACACTCACCTCCCTACCAGGCACATACATGTATCACACAGACAACAAGTATAAACTATCATATAAACAATCCTTCGGCACCGCCCGCTATTACTGGACCTCGTCCTGAACATCATACTAGCATACTGTGCCTAGGGCTAACCCCCGGGTCTTCTACTTGTAACTACATGGGTCGGCATTGTGGCCTTAGACCCATTCACACAAAAGGGAGACTCACCTGTACCGGTTGAACTTGTTGATGATCTCAATGGCTGCTACCCGACAACTCACTGAACTCCTGCTCCCTTTGCTCCCCGAACTACCAATATCAAAGCAACACTGAGTTTAACTGACCCCCGAAAGACAACCAAGTCAACCCTGGTCAAAGTCAACCTTCCAGGTCAACCTTACTCGCCGAGTTCAAAATGTTCAGATTCCTTCCATTCGCGTCTCGACTCGTCGAGTCAGTCCATGACTCGCCGAGTCTACCGATTTCTGAGTCCTAACCTGTCCAACTCACTGAGTCTCCACCCGACTCACTGATTTGAGTCTCAACTCGAAGGGTTTGGGGGTTTTGCGACCTGACTCGCCGAGTCCAAGAACAGACTCGCCGAGTACAAGGCAATCTTCATATGACTCGACGAGTTGTTCATCCCACTCGTCGATTTTCTCCACAACTTCATGCTACTCGCCGAGTCCACTCAAAGGAATCGCTGAGTCCCTTCAGTTCTCCTTACATGCAGAGGACTTTTGAGTCATGCATGGACTCCAAACTGTAGATCTACCCTTCCCAAGCCTATTCCTCACGTAAAGTTGCAAACTTTACGTGTAGAGAAGGAGATCTAGGCAAAATATGCCATAAACTAGGCTTTAAGGCCAAGGGGCTTCAAAATCGACTCAAGGGCTGATACTTTTTGCTTCTCCAGGCCCTAACACACTTGGATTTGAAGTAGCAACTCCAGATCCGGCTTCTAACCCATAAGGGTCTAATCATGGCTTAAAAAGCCCAAAACTCACAACCAAAAATAGATCCGAGGGAGGAAATGACTTAATACCTTCAATACCTTAGAAAGACTCCACAAACTCCAGATTTGAAGCCAATTCTTGAAGCTTCACTGATTCCCTTTCCTCTTCTTCCTTCAAATCACCCAAAAATGGCTTGGAAGCTTGGATGCACAACAATGGAGGCTTAGGCTTCATTTTCTGAACGAGGGATGCTATAAGGAACCCTAATGGAGAGAATAAGAAGCTTAAATAGTGCCCAAAGTCCTGAATTTAGCATTTTCCTCGCACAGACTAGACTCGCCGAGTCCACTTGGCCGACTCGCCGAGTTGGCCACTTACACCTTGACCCGGATCCCGCTCGGACTCGCCGAGTCCCTCCTTGAACTCGCCGAGTCGACCCTTAAAATTAGGGCTTTCTTTCCTTTCTTGGCCTTTAAAACTTTGGGTGTTACAAATCAGTAGGAAGAAGACCCTCCAAGGGTAAAAAGGTCCAAATAGATAGTATCTATCCCACCTAGTGTAAAAAACCACCTTCGTTTGCATCTTTGTTTACATCTAACTTTATATTTTAACATACAAATAGCATCAAAGTTCAGATTTCGTCATCTAATATCATATTTCAGTAAAGTAATATCATTAAAAAAAAACTGATTTTTGCATCTAGTTTCATGTTTCAGCAAACACAACGTTTTAGCAAACAAAGAATATATAATTTTATATTCCAGAAAACACAACATATGATTTCATATGTTACCTCATATCAGAAAGAAGAAAGAAAAAGAAAACAACAGATTAATGAAAAGAAAAAGGGAAGAAGAATAAGCTTACCAGTTTGATTTTGACATCAGAGTTGTGGTGGTATTACGGCAACAAGACCAATTTTCTTACCAAATTCCAGCAGATAACATAAGATATCGACAGACAAGTACAAATTCCGCCATATCTTCAGCAATTTTAGCAAGGGATTGAAACAATTGGACATCAATACCGAATGTCATAGGGGGAAGAGAACAAAAAAGAAAAACAGAAAAGAAGAAGCTACCTGGTCGTGGTCGTCATCACCGGGAACTAAACTATCGACGTTGCTGGTAAGGAGCTACTCGTCATCGATGTCGTGGACGTCGACGTTAACTGATGGTAGTCCGAAAAGAAGGTTGTGGTCGCGAGATGATGGTTTGGTTTGGGTATCGGCAATGGAGGGGAAGGAAGGAAGACGAAATTGTGTGATGCTACAAGTAGTGGGGCTATGGAAGATGATGGGTAGTTGAAGAATAAGGTGGAGGAACGACTTTGATGGTTCGATTTCTCCAGCGAGACAACAGAGAATGAAGAAAATTGACGACGACAATTGTTGGGTTTTTTCTATAGGTTTTGACTTTGATATCCCATATTTAAAGGGATAATAAACATATTAATTATCTACCATAATTAAATATGTAAAGATTACTATAATATCGTTAAATGATTTATTAAATAATTTATTATTTCCTCAATTCTCATTGGTGCATACATGCAAACAACAGTTGCTAGAAACATTTGAACCTATATATATATATATATATATATATATATATATATATATATATATATATATGGGCTTAGGGAATATGTGGCTGTAATGTACCTAAGCTTATATATAGAACCCTCCAAACAATGTAGTTTTGATCCATTTATATCCAAACTAATCATGATATCTCTTTTAATATTCTTCATTAATCATGTGACTTACTAAATCGATCAAATTTATATTCTTTTTCTTCATTGTGTTTAAGAACTTAAAGCATTAAAAGTCGTGACCATTTCATCAACCCTACTAAATTCTAAATGAAAACTAATAGAATAAAAGATAAAAGAAGAACATGTCATAACTCAATCAAGCTTTTCACAAAATCATTGGATATATTTTTTTTCAATTGAAATACAAAACACTTGAGTTACATTCATTAAAAACTATTGGTTTTTTATTTTCTTTATAAACTCAATAATCATTTGCAATAAAATATATATAATTGATCTTTTTCATACCATAATTGAACTTAATTCAATGGTATTCTATTAAAACAAAACTAAGATAAAATGAAATTGGATTTGTTTTATTTAAAACTACGTTGTTTAAAAGGTTCTATACCTAAGTTTAGGTACATAACAACCACATATTCACTTTCCATATATATATATATATATATATATATATATATATATATATATATATATATATATATATATATATATATATTCAATCAAATTTGGCTTCATACACTTAATAGGCACGATGGAATTCTGCACCTTTCTTCCCGCATACTATGTTAGAAAGTATATATATTAGTGATTGTGTGATTGTTGTTCTCGTTTTAAAGATAATCAATTATATATTTTTTCTTCTGTTTATTAAGTCAACAAATGCGCAACCCAATTTAGACTTTGACCGGAGCAGATCATTGAATTCAGTGATGGGTGTTGTTAGAAGGGACGAAAAAGATATTGGGGATGCTGAAAATTATAGCGAAGAAACAAAAAAAAGGATCAAAAAGGTGTCTTAGAGAGTGAAGAACAGATGATGTCGCCGGTTGGAACTTCAATTCAGCGATCAAGTAGTCGCCCTCTGCTTGATCTTAGTGGTGCAGCCATTCATGGGAATTTTGAAGAAAAAGATCCCACGATTCTGTTACCTAATCAATCTGATGATATTTCATATTTGTCACTGGATATTGGAGGTGAATTTGTTACTCTAAATGGGAATCTCTATCGCAATTTGGTCATAATTTGAAAAAAAAATGATGATAATGTTGTTCGTTTTTTCATAATTTGCACCAGGCTCTCTCATTAAGCTAATTTATTTTTCAAGACACGAGGAGTTTTTAGTCAATAACAAGAGAAACAAGTCTTCCCCAATTCTTGGAGGGAGGCTCCATTTCATAAAGTTTGAAACAAACAAAATCAACGAGTGTTTAGAATTCATCCGATCCAAGCAGCTTCACATAGGAGGTGCAATACAACTCTTTTTTGTATCATCCTAAAGTTTCTGATAAATTTTCATATAAACTTTTATTTATACGAACTTGTTTCTATCATGTATGACAGATGGCGATAATGCAGTAATCAAGGTATTCAATACACCTCATTATTCATTGATATTCAAAAAAATGTTAATTTTTTTTTTTAAAAAAAAAGGATGGTTTTTGTATCTCTATTGATTTGTTAAAATGGTTGAAAGGTTACTGGTGGTGGGGCCTACAAGTTTGCGGATTTATTTAAAGAAAAACTTGGGGTTAGCATTGAAAAAGAAGACGAGATAGATTGCCTTGTAACTGGTGCAAATTTTTCGCTAAAGGTGCTTCAAAAAAATTTATATGTAAAAAAAACTTGAGTATTTTGGTTTATATGACATATAAATTAAATGACCTATTTTTTTTAAGGAAATTCGCCATGAAGCCTTCACTCATAGGGAAGGTCATAAGGAGTTTGTGCAGATAGACCATAATGAGTTGTATCCATATCTTCTTGTTAACATTGGATCTAGTGTTAGCATGATGAAGGTGATAGATACTTCTTTATTTCTTTTTAGTTTATACTCCTATTCCAAATAAATGCAATAGGAAAAAACATTCTTTTTTGAATTTCCCAAAATAAATGAGTAGGAATTAATAAATATTCAAATTTTGAATGATACAGGTTGATGGTGACAGGAAGTTTCAACGGGTTAATGGGACAAATGTAGGTGGTGGGACATATTGGGGTTTAGGAAAACTATTAACAAAGTGCAATAGGTGATTATTTCTCTAACATTTGCTAAATTATCTTTCATTTCCATTTTCACCACTCTAAATCTAACAACAAATGTTATAGTTTTGATGAACTTTTGGAGTTAAGTCAAAGAGGCGACAGTAGATCTATAGACATGCTAGTTGGTGACATCTATGGTGGCTTGGACTACTCAAAGGTTAATTCTGAATAAAGAAAATGAAAATTCTGAATGTTAATTGGTGTAAACAAATGTCATTATTTTTTGTGACATGAGTAGATTAATTTTAATATGTTATTATTGCAGATTGGACTCTCTGCAGCAACAATTGCTTCTAGTTTTGGCAAGGTGATTGCAGAGGACAAAGATATTGAAGATTATAGAGCTGAAGACATTTCTCTATCTCTCTTGCATATGATTTCTTATAATATTGGCCAGGTATTTTAACGAAAATAATTTCATCAATAAAGACAAATAAAAGAATCTTGTGAACTCTATTTCTTATTTGAATTCTAATATACAGATATCTTATTTAACTGCGTTACAACTTGGGATTAAGAGGATATTTTTTGGAGGATATTTTATAAGGGGTCATGCTTATACCATGGACACAATTTCATTTGCAATCCAATTCTGGTACATAACAAAAACAAAACCTAATCGATCTTTTCATTACCACTGAACTTTTTTTTTTTAAAAAAAAAATTTTAAGTTATATTTTTTAGGTCAAAAGGAGGGGCAGAAGCTATGTTTTTGCATCATGAAGGGTTTTTGGGAGCTTTAGGTGCATTTATGAGCAACAATAAGCATGGATTGGATCACTTAATGGTTCATCAATTAGTTGAAAGATTTCCAATGGGTGCTCCATATACTGGAGGAAAGATCCATGGTCCTGCACTCGGTAACTTGAGTGAGAAGGCAAGTGTATCATCTATGTTAAATTACGTAACTACCCCTAGTTTTAATCAACTAGTTGTTTAATTATCTTATTTCGATTCGATTCTCTAACTTGTTTTCATGAAAATACATCAAGTGGAATAAGATTCAAAGGAGAGGATTGTCCTTTGGAATCAATTATGTACATGACCCACTAACAAAAAGAAAGAAAGTACTCAATACTTCTCTAAAAAAAGAACATATGCTTAAAAATCACATTAATAAAATATAAATACGTGTCTCAAAAAATAACAAGTGAATTATTGATGGATGAGATGTAATATTATCTATAGTTCTATACAACCCATGTTCATGTGGTAATGTTTGTTTTGGATTTTATGTGCCAAATCATGTGAAATTCATCATCACATATTCTCAGCGACATGATATGTTGTATATTTGAACTATTTCCGAATGGATTCCAATATGTTTTTTTAGGTCATTTTGTCACTTATTGGTGGTATATTTATGTTAATGTTGTTTGTGTGTATTCACAACCTTTTAATATGTGTATGCACAGATATCTTGGATGGAAAAATTTGTACAAAAGGGAACTCAAATCACTAATCCTGTTCCCATGGCTTCTCCAAGAACAACTGGTTTAGGTGGATTTGAGGCTCCTTCATCAAAAGGAGATATCTTACGCTATGATGAAAGTAATTTAAATGTTGGTGTTCTTCATTTAGTTCCTTCATTAGAAGTTTTCCCCTTGTTATCTAACCCAAAAAGGTACACAAATTACTCTTTATATAAAAATTTAATCAGTAATATATAATATAAACTCCTATTGGGAAAAGATGGATGACTCTTTCTTACTCCTTTTTTCTTTTTTTCCCCTCATTAAGTTTATACATTTTGGTTGTTTTCAGCTATGAACCTAACACTATTGACCTTGCGGACCCCAATGAACTTGAGTAAGTTTTAAATAGTTAGTTATTTTATTTTCCTCAATATGAGAATTATTCTTTTTTATGTTGTATGTCTTGTTAATGTAGATATTGGTTCACTGTGTTGTCTGAACATTTACCAGATCTTGTTGACAAGGTAAACCATCATTTTTCAGATTAGTGGTGTTTTAAAAATAATATTAATAACATTTGTATATGTGGTTATTAATATCTTGAATTAACATTTTAATATTGATATTGAATATGCAGGCAGTGGCTAGTGAAGGTGGAACAGATGATGCTAGAAGAAGAGGCGATGCATTTTCTCGTGCATTCTCTACTCACTTGGCAAGGTAAAAAAAATTTAACTTTTTTTTTATTGAAAATTGAAAAAGAATCACATTTTAGAGAATTACATAAAGAAATGCTGCAATGAAACTGGTTATTGAAGATAAATGTGAAATTAACTAATTATCATGATTCATGTAGATTGATGGAGGAGCCTGCTGCATATGGTAAATTAGGGCTAGCAAATCTTTTGGAGTTGAGGGAAGAATGCTTGAGAGATTTTAATTTTTTTGATGCATATCGTACTATAAAACAGAGGTATGAAGCTTTGATTTTGGTTTTTAAATGAAAAAAAAGATATGTTGTGTTTATTTTATTTGATCTTATATTATATACCTTCCTTTTTCTTTCCCCTCAATTATTTTGATTGTGTTAGGGAAAACGAGGCATCACTTGCTGTTTTGCCTGACCTTCTCTTGGAGCTTGATAGTATGAATGAGGTAAAATCCCAACAAATCTTTTACACGGAATATTTTCTAAAAAGTGTTTTTTTTCTAGTAAAATTTTTAAGTATATCCTAAAATTTCAATAGTTGAAAATGAATAGTTTAATTTCATTTCAGGAAACAAGACTGCTTACGTTAATTGAAGGCGTTCTTGCTGCAAACATATTTGATTGGGGATCAAGTGCTTGTGTTGATCTTTATCACAAAGGCACGATTATTGAAATCTATAGAATGAGTCGCAAAAAGATGCGAAGACCTTGGCGCGTAAGTGCCTTTTTTATATTACATTATCTCAATGTAAAGAAAAAAATAAAACATGTGGAAAAAATTTTCTAAACAAATTATTTATTATAATGCATTTGTTTCAGGTGGATGATTTTGATGCCTTTAAGGAAAGAATGGGTTTTAGAGCCCATAAACGAGCATTGCTCTTTGTTGACAACTCTGGTGCTGATGTCATACTCGGAATGCTTCCCCTTGCTCGAGAATTGCTACGCCGTGGAACTCAAGTAAGCCATTGACTATTAATAACAGTCAGTGACAGTTGATAGTAGACAGTAGATAGTAGATAGTAGACAGTTGACAGTACTGAATGTGGCATGTGTTTTTGTAGGTTGTGTTGGTTGCAAACTCCCTTCCAGCACTAAATGATGTCACTGCGATGGAACTTTCGAAAATTGTAGCCGAGGCTACCAAGGTATGCCAACATTATAACATTTGTGGGGCCCGATATTAGATGTGCATTTTGAAAGTGATTATTGCAACGTGAAAAATAACAAATAGAATCAAATAATCACAAATTTAGGCAATAATTATTGTAATTTACAGCATTGTGACATTCTTCGAGGAGCGGCTGAAGCTGGTGGATTACTTGTTGATGCAATGAATAATATTCTAGAAGGTTCTAGACAAAAGCTTCCTTCAACTCCTTTAATGGTTGTTGGAAATGGATGTGGGAGTCCATGCATTGACTTAAGACAGGTCAGCTCTGACCTGGCTGCTGTTGCTAAAGATGCTGACTTGGTATTCTTCTTTCTTATTATTAATTTTATTTTAGTTATTATTGTTGCAACTCAGTTGAAAAACAACTCGTTTTTTTTTTAATATTTCATATAGGTCATTTTGGAAGGCATGGGACGAGCTTTGCATACCAATTATAATGCTCGATTCAAATGTGATACTCTAAAGGTACAAAAAAAAAAAAAAAAAAGATTATTTATGATTTTATCTGGTAAAATAATTGGATTTTATTAGAGTGATTATATGATTATGATTGCGTGGATGAATGAATGTTTTGTAGCTTGCAATGGTGAAGAATCAACGGTTGGCAGAGAAGTTGATCAAAGGGAACATATATGATTGTGTCTGCAGATATGAGCCACTAAGATAAAAACATGTATTTTTCTTGTAACTGAAAGGTCTTGATCTTATTTGATTATAAACTTAAATAAATTGTCTTCAAATGTTTTTCAAAGTATGTTCTCTAAAATAGGAATTACCCAGTGTTGATATTTTTACAACATTGGTAATCTTTAGCTTTTATATTAAAGATTATTATCATTGGTAGTCTTTGGGTTTTTTTTTATACAGAATGTTGCCAGTGTTAATATTTTAGTGAAAATACATACAACGGTTTCAAGTTAATGCAGTTATATTTTTTCTCTATCTATTAAAAAAAAAAATTGGTAAGCATTTTTGTTATCGAGTATTCAAAGATATTGATTTTATGATATTAGTACCAAAAGTAAACTACAAAACTAGAGAATTTCCACCTGTTAATAAGTTAATTTGAGTTGTATTTGAATTTTTATTGTTAATGACAGAGTGAAGTAAATAATTAACTAAGTATATATGATGGAGTCAAATTTCAAACGGGTAGACAATGTTAAATGAGTTGATTTTTATAAAGTGTAATCTTAAAATATACAATCCTAGAAATTGCTTTGTAAAAGTATTACACGTTTAATGTAATAATACCATTTTTGTTAGCATATTATGATTGTCTTTCTATAACAAAGTTCTAAATAAGTAAGATCGAGTCACAAGATTTACAAGTCATAACAAAGACATTACATTTTTTAAGGAGCGACTTACTTTTTATATTTAATTTATAATTATATGTATAAATATATTGGTTTTCTACTATTATCCAACATTTTATATATATATATATATATATATATATATATATATATATATATATATATATATATATATATATATATATATATATATATATATATATATATATATATATTGGATATCTCCAGAAAAATTCCGATATTTTGGGCAAATTTTTAATAAAGTCCTAAATTTTATTTTTTGAATAAAAAAGTCCTGATTTTTCACATTTTGAATAGAAAAGCCCATAAAATCAGGACTTTTTTATTTTTTGAATAAAAAAGTCCTGATTTTTCACATTTTGAAAAAATCAGGACTTTTTTATTCAAAAAATAAAATTAATGATTTTATTAAAAATTTTCCTAAAATATCGGACTTTTCTGGATATATATATATATATATATATATATATATATATATATATATATATAATATATATATATATATATATATATATATATATATGGTTACGTTTATGTGAGACGGCCTAATTTTGTTAGACCGTGAGACGCATTTATTTTATTTTTTTAGTTAATTCAAGTTTCAAAAATAATATTTAAAAAAAGAATTTTTGAATTTTTCCATTTATTTTGCATTTTAAAATTATTTTTTAGAATATGTACATTGTAATATTCTATTAGAATATTTCATGTATTTTTCAAAAAAAAAAAACGGGATTATTTTTAATTTTTTTAAAAAAAATTTAGTTAATTCAAGTTTCGAAAATAATATTTAAAAAAAGAATTTTTATATTTTTCCATTTATTTTGCATTTTAAAATTATTTTTTAGAATATATATACATTGTAATATTCTATTAGAATATTTTACGTATTTTAAAAAAAAATGAGATTCTTTTTTATTTTGTTTAGTTAATTCAAGTTTCGAAAATAATATTTAAAAAAAGAATTTTTGGATTTTTCCACTTATTTTGCATTTTAAAATTATTTTTAGATTTAGTATTACGGTCTCACAAAATTAGAATGGTCTCAAATGAACCTAAACCTATATATATATATGACTTAAGGGAGTGTTTCTTATGGCGTGACTTCGGATATTAGCCTTGGAACACTAACGTGATATGACGAGCTTTATAAAACATTGCTTTGTATCCACTTTAAGAATTAAAGTGTTTTAAACGTGTTGCATGCTTGTTTAACATGTGCATTTTAACACATCTAACAAAAAATCATTCTTGGACTATTGTTCTAACATCCTTCAATCGTCCAATAAAATATGATGAATGAGTTTATTAAAAAAATTATTGGTTAAATTGATAATATATGCCATATAATATTCTTTCTCGTATTCTTTTACTTCCTTCTTGTAACTCATAAACAAGTAAATTGATTTCTCATCCATTTTTATTCAGTTTCAAATAGATACAATGGTGAACAAGATACGAACTTCCCAGATGGAAATCGAATCTTTATAGGATTTGATGATCATGTCATATTATTGTAGTGCCTTATCATAAATTGATTCGCCAAAAGTCCAAAAGACTCTTAGGATTGAGAAGATTCAAGAAGCGAATCAAAATGATTTAGGGTGTTCTATTGTGGAGAGAATGTAAAACACGTATGCCTCTCCTTACAATCTAATTGCATGTATAACATACATCTCTTAAGAAAATCCACATTACGGTCACTATGCATTTTTGATTACAATTAAATCAATCAATAAATTTAAGGCATAATTTATGTGGTCTAATTAGTCATTTGGAAAACCTTTGATATATGTAATAACTATATACTACAAACTTATTTCATGACACAAATAGTCTCTCTCTCTCTCTCTCTCTATATATATATATATATATATATATATATATATATATATATATATATATATATATATATATATATATATATATATATTGCTTCGAACATTTTTCCATTTGGCATTGAGATCATTTATGTATGATTTCTAATACTAAAGTAAATAACAACAAAATGATCTGCAACCATAAGTCAAGAACAAAATTATCATGTCACTAATTGCAAGCAAACGCAAATCCATAAGAACATACCACAAATGAAAGTTATATGCATCAAAATGGTATAAACTCACCTTGCTTGTATATAATGTTGCTCCAAAAAGTATGAACTTTGCCATTCTCAAACCATGGTAATCTCAACAGTAATTTCAAAATGCGTGAAAATGCACTTCCACTTTGATCAATCTTCCAATTTTACCCTTTTATATCCAACTAAGTTCCAAACCGTGACATTCTCCTCGAAATAATTATCATTCAAACCATCACACCTTATTTGTGATGCCTCTCGAGTATTTTAGATTCTCCAGAAATAACAACATACTTTTAATGATTGTTCCTTACCATTTGTACGTTGTTATTCAAACCTGTCTCTCATTCCTCACGATTAAAATATGAGAATATGAATATTAATCTTTAGGAAAAATACACCTAAGAATTTTAACTAAGAATTTGATTTCACCTAATGATTTTTCAACAAATGCATTGTAACACCCAAAAATTTACGCCAAATTTAAACTTTTAATACTAACAAAAGAGTCAAATAGTAATTGTTTTTACAAAAAACTTCCAATTCGTTTATCAACAGAATGTACCAAAATAGACCATGAGGATGAAGAGCGGTACGGTCACACCTTTGCCTTCCCTCGCTCTCCTGAAGTACCTAAAACAATAAACTAAAAACTGTAAGCTCGGGGCTTAGTGAGCTACCCCCAAAATACCAACACCATACTAACAGAAACCATAGCCATAACGATCAATAAAACAACTTGCATACTGGGCCATCGGCCGGACTAGTCCGCCCTACTGGGCCTACAGTCTATCTGACTTTATCCCGAGCCTTCGGCATGACTAGTCCGCCGCGTGGGCCTACAGTCTCCCCGGGCTGCTCAGAGGGTGTATTGGCCTTCAGCACAATGTAGGACTTCCTCAACCCAACCAACAAGCAACTAACCATGTACGCATACTATCATATACTGACATATACACATAGCAAACATATCTATCTCATTAACCATCAATGATAGAGTTTCACTCGTAACTAGAGTATCAACCTAACAGGCCACTAATATACCAATCCTTACGGATCATAAAAGTATAACATACTATCTATCCTGATTCCGATCTAACAGATCAGAATCATATGTAGCATACCATAATAACCGATCTAACCGATCTCTAGTATAACAACCATCCTAAACAGGATGAATTCTAACAAAGCAATAACATAACACCCATCCTAAACCAGGATGAAATCTAGCATGGTAATAACAAAGCAAACATCCTAAACCAGGATGTAAATCATAGAGGGCCGACCATGGTGCCGTAGACCCTATCGATATAGTGAGGATAATTCACCACGCAGATGTCGATTGAAATGCAAACTCCAACTATCGGATCACTTGACATCAGCACCACCACCTATAACCATGGCACAATATACTCATAAGTTATTACTCTTATGAGACACCCCATAACCTCTTAGTTTCCCGATCAAGGTCAGAGTCCTCAGTCAAGGTCAACAATCCATGTTGACCTCAACTCACCGAGTGCACTCGGCCACTCACCGAGTTCGTGGAGCACATTCCAACTCCCCGAGTTATCGGAGTGACTCGTCGAGTCCTTTCGAATCCCGATCAATCCTTAAGGGCCACCCGTCGAGTTTCCTCCTTGTAACTCGACAGGTACACCCGCATGCCTATCCAAGGGAAAATCCATCCGACTCACCGAGTTGTTCTTCAACTCGTCGAGTTTTATGGTGATTTTCATCGGACTCGCCGAGTTGTTCATCCAACTCGCTGAGTTCAATGACCATCTTCATGTGACTCGCCGAGTCATCATTGAGACTCGCCGATTCCATCCAATCCTCTTTCCATACAGACTTGTTTTGAGCCATGTAGCGACTCCAAATCACAGATCCAAGCTTCTAGAGCATACTTACCACGTAAAGTTGCAAGCTTTACGTGCATGCATGGTTATAAAGGCTCCAAATGTCTATTTTAAGTTCTTAATGGAGCTTCTAGTCCAAGAGGGACTCCAACCACAACCAATACAACAACTTTATGACTCTAGCATCCTAGGAGGGTCCAGATCTGAAGTTACAACTTCAGATCTAGCCCATAGCTAAACATCCCAGCTTGAAAGTCCATAAAAAGCCCTAGAATCAACCAAAGGGAAGAAAAGGAAGTAAGAATGGTACTTTGATACCTTCAAACGATGCTAGCTGAGGCAAAACCTGCTTCCTACTCATTTCTTGCTTCAATTTCCTTTGCACTCTTAGCTTCCTTCCTCCAAGATCCTCTTTTCCAAGCTTCAAACCCACACCAAGGCACACACACACGAATTAGGGTTTCAAGGGTTCTCAAAGACTGTAAGGAGTCCCAAAGGAGGCTGAGGCTTCTTTAAATAGGGTTGCAAACCCTGGGATTTAGGGTTTCATCTGCCAGCTCCTACTCGCTGAGTCCCAATAGTGGACTCGCCGAGTAGGTCACTAACCACGCGTTCTCACCCCGCTGCTACTCGACGAGTAGAGCTTTATCCAGAAATTCTTAATTAATTATACCTGAGGATCGGGGTGTTACATGCATCCAATGCCCTTTGGAGTATATACATAAATCATAAACACTAAGGTGCTGTTTGTTTTTTGAAAAAAACCTCTTCAAACCTCTTACTGCTGCGCAGCGCAGCACATGCGCAACACTTTTCATATTGCAGCTGTTTGTTTTTTAGAAGTCTTCTGAGTCAAAAACCTCTGCGCAGGCTCTGTTTGGCGCAGCACTTGTACTGCCTCTTCTAACCTCTTCCAACATCCTCTTCTTCTTTTTTTATTGCTGAAATTTTGATTATATGTTATTAAAATTTTATTTCACATTTTTTTTTCGTTTATTCTTATTGAATTTATTTTTCATTTTTTTATATTCAATAATGATAATTTCTTGATGAAATATCATTATTTTTTACTAAAATATCTTTATTTTTTGTTAAAATATCATTCTTTTTTACTGAAATATCATTAACTTTTACCGAAATGTTATACATTATTAAATTTTATGTATTAAAAAGTTATTTTCGGTTTATAAAATTAATTTATTTTAATTTTTTAATATCTGCAGCAGTATGCAGATGTTAAAAAAACAAACATGCTTCTTATTATAGTCTGCAGCCGTTTGGTCCACCTCTTCTACTGCAGAGGGTTGCAGAGGTGGTCCGCAGATTTCATGAATTTTTGCTTCAGAAAATCAAACAGCACCTAAGTGAAGTTGATATAAGCATCTAAGAGTTTATTAAATATGTATATAGCTAGTAGTTTTGTAAAGATATTCATGATGTATATTAAAGTTTAAGCACAGCGCCAAGAGTCTATTAACGACGGATATGGTTGCAAGAACTTTATAACTCCAAGTTTTATAGAAAAATTAACATAAGTTATAATTTTATACAAGGCGTCTTGTGATTGAAGGAAATATGAAGTTGATGATTAACGGTTAACAAAATGTGTTTCACGATTAAAAAGTAAGTTGCATTCTAAAAATAGTGTTTTTGAAAACTTTTATGCATATGAATGATTTTTCTGAAAAACTTTTAGAGATACAATGATTTATTATAATAAATATCAAATAATATAAATAACTAAAAGAGGTAGGGGAAAATGTCACTATAGCACCATAAAGTTAAGGTTTTTTTTTTCCCGATTTGGTCACTATTTTTTTTTTTGGAATAGTAGACCACTAAACTCCTTTTTTACCTATCAATTACACCTTAAAAGGTTAACCGGTTACAATGCCTACGTTTCAATAATGTATTCTTTTATGGAGAAATTACTCATACGTCAGATATTCCAAGTCGAAATAAATAAGTCCAACACTTATACCTCACCCTCTTCACAAGTCGACTTCATTCTTTACTACTCGAAAAAAACGATTGCCAGCTAGGGTTTTGGAACCATTTTTGTGAGTGAGCAGAAGAATCAAATAACTAGCTGCAATGGCACAAGCAGGCCCTAATGGACTATTTGTGATTGTGGAACTCAACTATCAAGGGGTATTTACTCGTAATCCCTTCTCTTACACTGGTGGTGTGAAAACCATGTTCAATAATGTTGATTTTTTTTGTTATTACTTACTTTGAGTGTTTGACGTTCATTGAACATTTCATGCATGAAGAGTATAAAAAAAATTTACTACTATGAACCAGGTCTTTCCCTGATGAATGAGATTAATCCCATTTGAGATGATGTGGAATATGTTGCTTTTATTTTTAATTCTTATGCAACAGATGATATAATTTTTGTTTATATGGATTATATTGGGGTGTGAGTAGATGAGTGGTTTGATGATGATGACAATCCAAATGATGAACATGAGTCTTGTATTGATGGTGAAAATAAAGATAACATAAATGACCTTAGGAATATGGATGTGGAATTTAATAAGGATGCAATGATTATGAATATGACATCAAATGATCCTTTCTTGAGTAAGTTGTGTGTTGATGAGGATGAGGATAAAAACATTGTAGATGATGATGGGAGATAAATTAAATCTAACATGCACACTCATTCCATTTTTAATGAGTTATTACGTTGGAAAAAACAAAAACCCATTCTTAGAATGAGATTTAAGGATGCATGGCAAGTAAAATCAATGTTGTGGAAATATGATATGGCTAATGATATCAACTATGTTTTGACAAAAATGATAGAAAAACGCTTTTGGTGAGGTATAGTAAGGATGCTTGCCTATTTTGATTATGGACTTCTTGGATGAGTGATGAAGAGAGTTTCCAAATCAAGTCACTAAAATTTATCATAATTGTGCTAGGAACTTCAAGTTAGGATCATTGGTGACATATGCATGGATTAGGAGTCACTTTACCAAAGAAATTGTACATAGTCACAAATTGAGAGTGAGAAAATTGAGGTTACAGTTAATAACCAAGTTTAGTATCCATGTTAGCATAGGCCAATGCAGGAGGGCAAAAAAGTATGTATTGAAGCTTATTGAAGGTAGTCTTGTGGAGCAATATGCAGAACTATGGTCATATGGGCAAGAGATATTGAGGAAAAATCCATGATCAACTGTGAAGCTAGAGATGGATAATGATCTATATGGACATAACCGTTTTATCAATTTCTATGTATGTTTTCAAGGAGTGAAACAAGGTTGGATTGAAGGTTGTAGAAAGATAAGAGGTCTTGATGAGTGTTTTTTGAAAGGGAATTGTAAGGGGGAATTGTTTGGTGTAGTTGAGAGGGATACAAATGACAAGATATATCCTATTGCTTGGGCTATGGTTTGTGTGGAGAATAAGAATAACTGGAAGTGGTTTTTGGATCTTATTATTGATAACCTTAACTTAAACTTAGGAAATGGATACAATTTAATGCCAGATTAACACAAGGTGAGCACATTATGTAGTAATGTATTTCTATTTGTAGTATGAAGTTGGTACTAAAGTTTTTATTATTATTATAGGGTTTGATTGAGGTTGTAAAGAAGTTGATGCCATTTGTAGAGCGTATACATTGTGCTAGACATATTTTCCAGAATTTACAGAAGAGATACACTGGAGCCATCTACAACACACTTGTTTTTGGAGAACATCTAAAACCACAACCGGGAATGCATTTAAAGTTTTCATGAAGGAAATTGAGACTTTAAACGCCAGTGTACATAAATATCTCATGGACAAAGATCCACTACAAATAAAATGACATTTAGTGGCACAGAAAAAGTGCCACTAAAAACCGAAAAAGTACCACTAAAAACCCCCATGGTAATCAGCGGCACAAAAAAAAGTGCCACTAAAAGCGCTGCCATTAAAGACCTTTAGTGGCACTTTTTGGTTGTGTCGCTGCAGCCTAAATTAGTTTTAGTGTCACTTTTCAATTATGCCACTCTAAGCTATCAATTGCACGCTATAGCATTTTGCGGAGGTCAAGAACCCCTATTTTCAAATTACCTTTTTCATTTCACGGTACTGCTATTAGCCGTGCTATTCACCGCTATTTATCGCTATTGCGGCGCTACGGGTGCTATTCCATTTTCGTTCATATTTTAGGCCATTTGGTTACTTTGTTAATGAAAAGCTACTTTTAATGATCTCACTATACTTTCATTTTAAAAAGCCCGAACAACTAACATAATTAAAAAGCATGCATAACAACTATGTCTACCGACAACTCTATTTCTCATCTCTTTCTATACTCACGAAGACTTGAGCTGCTATGGTTGGACTCCATTAATGCTTTTTGTAAATCGATCCACACCTATGACGCTATGACTTAGGACTTAACTCCTTAAATCAACCACGACCTACTAATACGATATTGAACCAGTACAATGCAATTAAACCCTATTTGACATTTTAACACTACCTAGTTTCTATATTACTATAATAGAATATATGTTATGTTTTTATATGACGTTTTAGATTTGATAATACTAATTCTATATACACTTATAGCATTCATACTCAAATATATAAATCCTATATAAATATAATATAAAATTATAAATAATAAGTAATAGTAAAAAAACCACTATAGCACTGTTATACCACCGCGATAACCGCGATCTCAAATAGTGGCATATGACCGTTATTGAAATTTTGACCGCGATAACTGCATAGATGCCACTAAAGCATTTGGAGGTTTTAGTGGCACTATTTTTATGCCACTATTTAAATGCAAAAATTATTAATATTTTCATATTTTTAATGACATTTTTTAACAAAAAAGATTATATTTATAAATTAAATATGTTGTTTTAAATTTAAATGAAATATAAAACAATAAGACAATTAAGAAAATAAATGTAAAACATAACATCTTTACATTGATTCAAACTTTTACAATAACAATAATCTCAATAACTAAACACATAAATGTCTTAAAAATAAGTCTAAATTATGCTACTACTCAAAACATGATGCTGCTAGCTTCAATATCAGTCTCGCTAGGAAAATCAAACGGATTGCGAGATTTTGTATTAAGTCCATGTGATTGTGCTCCATCCTGAACCAATCAAATATAAAAAAAAATAATGGTAATTAATAATAATAATAATAATAATGATAATAATAATGTGTTTATAAATAAATTAAACCATCTTACTAGGGAGTTGATTTGATGCATTCATGTACAGTTTGACTAAGGTTGCATTATAGAAAGTTATAGGATGCTTAGTGATTTAAATAAAATGCAAACATCAAACAATTTAGAGGAATTTGATACATTTTCAGGTCCATACTCCATACAATCTGAAAAATAAAAGCAACCATCTCGATCTGGAAAAGAGTATTTTTAACACATGGACAAATAAAAATATATAAGTCCATCATTATATGAAAAGATATGCATAACAATGATTTGGACATACAAGATTCTTTTGGAAACATAAGTTGGTAGATAATAGATTGACCCATGTCTACAAATGCATCATCATCTTGGCATCCAAACATAGATAATGCTTTTGACATGGAAGACTGCTTTATAGCAACTGGTTTTCCGGATCCGGTACGAAATGTGAAGGGGTGCCACCTATTTTTGAATTTTCCTCTTGGTTTACCAATCCTGTTTCATAAAAATTAACATTCCATCAATTAATACTAAAATTTCATTTACATGTGTTCTTCAAAGAAAAAAAATAACGATTATAGAAAACAACCATCAGCTCTCATTGTCATTTGTTATAGCTGTATGCGGATTCAGATTGGCATACAGAGCTTCAATTATATGCAAACAAAAACAGCAACACATAACATCATGCCATCAATGAAAATAAGAAGTCATTGACCTATACCGAAACAAAATCTCAATCATAAATTACACAAAACCTTTTGAGATAGAAAAATAGATGCCATATATCATAAGATAAACATCCATTTCCTCCCAATCAGAAATTCATAGAAAAATTGGGTTGGTAGCCTTGAGTTCAAATGCACGGTAAAGAAGAAATTGAGAACCTTATATCAATTATAAAAAAAACTACTGGACATTAATCCAAACACTTAATAAAAACGACATATCAATTGTCCAACTATCATGAAGGGAAATAGCCACCAAAACGAACCATGTTTTGGGGTTTGAGTGACGATAGTTAATTTTTTTTAGAACCGAAGGTAAGCACGTTTCGCAGATGGCTAAAATGAGAAAATCAAATGATTATCATTCCTTGAAATCGGTAAATCAAATGATTTAGGAAGAGGATAAGAACTAACATTCGCAGATGGTGAGTTGTGAAAGCGACGACATACCAGATTGCTTGGAAGATGAACAATTTCATTCGTGGATAAGAGACGTGTGGACCGGGCGCAATATAAGCAGTTCCAAGGGGGCAGCAATGACGAGGTTACAAAGACAAAGCGGCAACGATTTGGAGTTTGGAGTCAGGATGACAGAAACCACGATTAGGGATTAGGGGAAGGGTGGGAGATGTTCGGACTTGGGAGAGTCAAAGTTAATATAAGGGTAAGGGTGAAATTGAAATTGAGATTTTTTTTTCTCTTAATCTCTTATACATATGTAGAAATCTGGGGGGGGGGGGGGGGGTTCGATGGAATAGAATGTAGGCGGGATGTATAATTTTGGGGGGAAATATTTTCCCTCTTTCAACAAAAGAGGAGGGTTTCCTAAATCAATTCTTTTTTTTTTCTAGTTTTTAGACGGTTTAAAATTATAATTATGAAATCAAGGTTTTTTTTTATCAAGTTGTTATAATGATTGAATTTCTTTTTATATTTTATTAAAATTAAATTAAATATGATATATGATATATAAAAAATGTTAAGTGAATTTTTTTATAAAATTAATAATTATGAAAATAATGTCATCAATGATTAATGTCACTTAAAATAAGCTATTAGTGTCATAAGCTATAAAGTGCCACTATATCTTAAAACATTTAGTGGCACCAAAGCAAAGTGCTACTAAAAGTATGTTATAGTGGCACAAAAGCAAAATGCCACTAAAACTTTATGCCACTAAATGTAATTTTACTTGTAGTGTTCCAAGACTTAGTCAAGAGCTTTCTTTCAACCGGACAGGTGTTGTTGTGTTGTTAAAAATAGCTTCTTTGAGAGTTTTAATGCTCTAATTATGGATGTCAAGAAAAAGTTTATTATCACCATGTGTAACACTCATAAAAATCATGAAAATTTTTAAATTTTTAAAACCAACTAATTTCACAATTGTTTACAAACATAGTTTTCAAAACATGTTCAACACCAGTCTCCCAAAATCATAAGTCAAAACATGAGGATGTGTACGACCACGCCTTCGCCTTCCCGCGATCATCTGAAGTACCTAAAACATAACCTAAAATTGTAAGCCAAAACTTAGTGAGATCTCCCAAAATACCAACACATAACATAAGCATAAATACAGACAACATACATACAGAGCCTTCAGCCCGACGGGAACGCCCCACCGGCCTACAATCCATCTGGTATGCTCACAGAACCTTCAGCATGACTGCTACGCCTCATCGGGCCTTTAGCCTATCTGGAATGTTCTTTGGGCCTTTGGCCTGCCCGG